ATGTAGAAATTGAGAACTTTTTATTCTAAAGTCACAAAGGGAGGAATCGTGGTTTTAAAATTTGAACATTGGCTCAACACAGACTTCTTAGCCCATAGGTTTAACTGCTACATTATATTATGTTTGTCATAAAATCTCTTATATGACACTGCACTTTTTGTCTCTTTCAAGAATTCAATTCCATTCCTGGTTGTACCAGGATGAAATAAAGGAATGAAAAGTCAATAATAACTCCAGGCAGTGTTGGGAATGAGGCAAAGGAAATAATAATGTAACAAAATACCCTATGTATGTGTGTATTTAACAGTCATAATAAAAAAGAAAATCTATGAGTCTGAGTAGGTGACAGCAAAGATTCATTCGTTTCCTACGCAGGCATTCATCTCAGGACCCTTAGCTGTGGTTCATCGAGGTGAACTGGCAGCCACACTCCTGTGTCACCTCTCATGTTTTAAGAAACAGTCCCCAAGTCTCTCATCTCATCCATCTCCTTAGTCCTTTTTGTCTGCCTCTGTTACTGCTGACACCAACAGGGAGAGGAACAGCATAGAAAATTTGGCAGAGCTTGTATTTTTACACCAACCATAAAAGGTTCTCTGGGAAAGACACTTTGGGATGGTTTTCAACATAAGTAGGGGCTATTTTTTGTTCTTTAGGAATCTTCCTTTCTTTTGCAACTAGAGAAATTTGCTACTCTGTGTATGAATCATATATGGCCAAAGAATATTTGGGGAGGAGACAAGTTTTGATTAAGTTTGGTATTGTCTGATTATGTTTTTTGGTGTAGATATGTGGGAGATGGGTAGATAGAAAGGATGCTTACAGCTTTTAAAACCACAGAATTCTGATCCCCAGGGATTTATTATTTGAACTGCTGCTTGTTTACAAGTTTATTTACAAATTCTCATCCTTCATTGTTTTAGGATAAACTACAAGGTCTATAATTTCTTGGCATTTAGGTTTAGTACAACTGAAAAGTAATTTGTTTTTCTTCTCTCATATATTTTCTCTTATATTTCTATCATATATTTGCATATTTTATTATTGTATATATTAACATTTTATATATAATTTCAGGTTACTGGCTATTTTGGGAATAGAATGAGAAGGGAAGAAATAATAGAATTTTTAAAAAGTGGCATAGATTCAATGTAGTAAATGTGACCTATCAAATATGAAAATTAAGGTGGATTTATCTAGTTATAACTCTCATGGCCTATTTGAATGGCCCCAATGTCAGTTTGCTCATACCCTCATTGGACAACTCCCTTAAATGTTGAATGTCTTCAACTGCTAAGAGTTATGTAAATTGTCTCTAAGGCAGATTCCCTAGAAGTTTAATGCCATACTATTTACCAGAATAACTCTAAACCTATATTTTATTGCATGAATATTTAAGTATCTAAACACAACTTTCTGTACCCTTGAAACTTCCATATTCTCCAGTCTCTTTTCCTCCTGAAACAAAACATTAAAAGTAGTGATTTTTATTATTTTACCTCTGCAATGTTAAAAGAGAAGCATTTATAAGAAATTGTTTTGCATCCATTCCATCCAGCAGTTATTTCTGTCTTTCCTTTTATTTCCCCCTATCTTTCTCCTGCTATATGTGTGGGGATTTTCTGACTATTGACTTGGTATAATACCTTATATTTGTAATGTCTATGTCAGATAATTATAATGGCTAGTTTGTACCTACTGATAGTAATAATAATAGTAAAGGAAGAAGACAAAAGAGAGGAATGTTTACCATCTGTTAGTACCTATGCCAAATATTTTTATGTTTTCTCATCAAGTAGTCCATTTTACAGTCAAACTAAGACCCAGTAATAAGTTACCTGATCAAAATTATCAAAGAATGAACAGCAGCCAATAGTTGGAGGTGGGGGAGTCTATTTTACTCCAAAGCACTTTTAATTATTAGGCAAAGTCTTCTGTAAATCAGAATATTGGACATGGGTCAAGTTCTTCTTCCTCTCCAAAATAGCAGTTATTTGTAATTTTGTCAATGTGAACGTATTTTCAACAAGAGCAAGAGAATTCTGTCTGCTTCAACAACAACTACAAGGTTGATAAGATATTTATTAAGTCAAGATACTAGCAACTTAAAATTATGTTGGCTTTACATCTGTTGTTTACCTAAGAAATACTAATAATTTTATGAAGCTTGTCTTAGGTAGGATCCTCAATGCTGAAGAAACACAAAATAAACTTAAAGATAGCATTTATTATAGGCTCAGTTGTTTTGTTTTGTTTTGTTTTTTACTTAACTTTGAATTATCTTCCAGTCACATAACATTTTCTTTAATGTTGGAATTTACTAAGTCTTCATTCTTTGGATGTTCAAAGTCTTGTCTCACATAGTTGGTTATGTTACTGTTAATGAAAGAACACACTCCACAGTAAATCCTAAAACATCTTTCTCATGACAATGACTTCATGTGATGCCTCACACAAAGGACTTTAGGGTAAAATATGTTCAGAAAATATTCATATAGTATATATCCTTCTTAAAGGTGTATAATCTCATGCATTTGTGTACTATGAAGAAGTGGCTCTCAGATTTCACCTATGCATTTGAATTGCTAGAGAGTGATTAAAAATGCATGCCCTTTTTTCATAGGATTGGGTTATTTTCCATGTATATTAATGTGGATAGATTATCTAAGAACAAAGTTTTAATAAATATGTGTTAAAGACATTGAGCAGAGCTACAATGAGAAAAGTGACTTTGTCCAAATATTTTTTTTCCCAAACTGATAAGACTGATGAATTTTATCGTCCCCAATGCCTTTTAGAAAACCCTACACTATGCAGTTTCCTTGCTGCATAAATTGGTTTTTTTAGCACCATTTTATATATATTTATTTCAGTTTATTTTCAAAGTCAGTATGAAAGTGAATAAAAATAAAACCCATTTGGTTCATCTTAATAAAAACGGAATTATAGTTGTTCATGGAAATTCAATATTTGAGGTCAACCTCAAACTCATATACCTCAGATTTCTTTCCTGGGTAGCCTAAACATCCCTCTACACATCAGCCTGAAAACAAACAAGCAAACAAACAAACAAAAAAAACCTCACTGCCATTGAGTTGATTTGACTCATAGCAACCCCTCCTTGGGTTTCCGAGGTGGTATCTCTACAGAAATAGATTGCACAATCTTCCTTCTGAGGAGTAGTTGGGGGGTTTGAACTACCAGCCTTCTGGTTAGCAGTTAAATGCAGAATGCTATCAGAGCTGCCTAAAGCAAATTGATACAATATAATCAAGGTTTTGGGTACAGCAAAGGGTTAATGTTCTCAGCTATTAACCATAGGGTTACTGGTTCAAGTCCACCTAGGCATATTTTGTAAGAAAGGATTGGCAATCTACTTTAGAAAATTCAGCCATTGAAGTCCCTTAGAGTTCAGTTCTGCTTGACACATGACTTTGTCGTGAATCAGAAACAACTTGATAGCAACTCTTTGCTTTTGCTATTTTTTTTTTAATTGAGAAGAAAGTTTGTTTGTTAACATGTTGAAAACCTTATAAAATATATCTAAACCTGGTAACTAAAAATAAATAAAATAAAATTAGGCATTTCATAAAATTCTAAAGAATTGATATATTTTCATATTTGGATTTATTCATTCATTATTTTTTCAGAGATTATTTACTGAGTAATTGTTATATGGATAGGCTTCTAACTGGGCTGTAGGACTGATAAAAAGTAGTCCCCATTTTCAAGGAATTCACAATATGTTGAAAAGCTGGACATGCTCATACATATATAAACAAAGTTAAGTGCTAAAATTAAGTTATATGCATATCACTTTCAGAACAGGCAAAAGCGTCTGAACTTTTCCAGTGGTACAAATTATGGGCTAGCAAGGACTAGTGGGTTTTCAGTATCTCACAGTAGAGAGAGAGAGGAGATAGTGCACACATAGGTAAGGAAGTATAATGTAACATGGTTTATTCAATAAAAAGCAACATAGTTGGAGAATAAGGAATACATAAAAATGTTTTTGCTGTAAAATCAGGATTGGAGATTCATATTTAGTTATCATGTACTTGGAAAATTTTATAGAATCTCAAAGTTAGAAATTAGCTTAGGTCTCCATCCTTTTATTGACTCTCAGGAAACAAACTGACTTTTCAAGTGGCCATGGATTATTAAATTCCTAGTCTCCCTGTTTCACACTGAAAGGATTGTGGAAAATCACCAAATAAAAAATGCGGATTCAACATTGAAGTATTTTAACTGATACTTTAAATATGTGTTTATATAAAAGAAGAAGGAAAAAAGGGAGCAATGGAAGGATTAAGAGGATATAAGGAAAGTAGGGAGGAAGACAAGCAGACGGGCAGGCAGGCAGGCAGGCAGGAAGGAAAATTCAATACTTTAACTTGATTAAAATGGAAATGAAATTCACTTGGTATAATTTTAGGATAGCTGGCACTTCATCACCTTCAAAATTGCTGAGATTAATAAATGAGATGAGATTTCCTGATGAGTAAAATATAATATTGTACTTTCAAAAATATTATTTATTTAAGATACTGAGGATTTTTTTTTCCTGGCATGGAAGATTGATGCTCATTATTCTACATTGCTTTCAGGTATGCAACACCCAATGCTCCTTGAGGCAAATAGACCACTGACATCTTTAAATCTTAAAGTCAAGATGAATCAAAGACTCAGTAGATTTATAATCCTTTAATTTTCTTTTTCAATTTTTAACTTTTTATAGACGAAGAACTTTCCAGTGGAATTGAACTTCTTTATGGTAGCCTACTGTCATAGCAGTACCAAAACTCACCGTGCGTGTGTGATCTCTCCTTGAGGATTCCACTCACGTTGGGATGGTTTTGTCTCTAGCTCTCTCTTTCAGTGTACATTCAAGTGGTAGAATCTTTCAATGCGAAGACTTCAAGTTTTCTCTTGTTGTAGTTGTTGTTCTGTTTTTTCTTCATTTAACTTCATTAACTTAATTTTAATTTCTGACTTTACAGGAGGGCAAAACTTGCTCAATGAAGCACAAAGAAAGCCCCCCAAACAACACTAGGGAAGACTCAGAGCCTGCCACACAGGTATATTTGTTCTGTTTTAATTATTCTGAAAAACACTTTGTATTTATTTATTTTTAACTTTTTATTGTGATTTGGATGAAAGTGTATAGAGCAAATTTATTTTCCATTCAAAAGTCAAACACATTTTCTTTCATGATGTTGAGTGTAGTCCCCACTGTGTAACAGCTCTGTTCCCACTTCTGCCCTCTGGTTACCTATCCACTCTGGCCTTCTTTCCTATGTATTATGTGTTCTGAGATTTCTCCCTGTGCAAATGCTACCCTTCTGATCTCCCATGGTTGATTAACTAGTGTACCTCCCTAGTGTAATTGTTCATCTTGTCAAATCCAACTCATAGTGACCCTTCCTTGGGTTTCTAAGGTGGTATCACTACAGAAGCAGATTGCCCAACCTTCCTTCTGAGGAGTGGCTGGTGGGTTTGAACTGCCAGCCTTCTGGTTAACAGTCATATGCCTTAGGCGCTATGCCACCAGAGCTCCTGTTTATCTTGTAGGCCTATCTTCGTTGAAAGTTAAGCCACGGAAGTGACTTCAATTTCAGGCCTGAAAGTTGACTGGGGACCATAGTCTTGGGAGTTCACTGCTTTGTATCAGACCAGTAAAGCTGGCCTGTTTTATGATTTTGTGTTTTGTTCTACGTTTTTCTCCCACTCAATTCGGGATCTCAGATTTTGATCCCTTTCAGAGTGGATGGCAGTTGTAGCCAAGCACCATCTAGTTCTTCTAGTCTCAGGGTCATGGAAGCTGAGGCTCCTATGCTCCATTAGTCCCTTACTCTAATAGTTTCCATGCATCTTTGATTTTCTTCCCTCTTTGCTCTGGGCAAAGATGGACAAATATTTGCATCATAGATGGCTGCTTACAAGATTGTACGACCCCAGTTGTTTATCAAAGTAGGTTGTAGAACAATCTATTTGTGTACTGTTGTTGTTGTTATTTGCCATCAAGTCAGACCCAACTCACAATGACCCTCCTTGGGTTTCTGAGGCAGTATCTCTACGGAAGTAGATTGCCCCATCTTCCTTCCGAGGAGTGGCTGGTAGGTTTGAACCTCCAGACTTCTGGTTAGCAGTCAAGTGCCTTGGCACTATGCTACCAGAGCTCTTTTTTGTGTACTATGTTATGCCAATTGAGCTCAAAGCCCCCGTGGTGATGGTGCCAAGCCTGCAGGCCCAGTGACTCCCTCCCTGAAGGTGTTTGGTTGTGGCTAAGAAGTTATCGTAATTTTGCCTCTCTTTCCTCCATTATACATACAGATATTTTTCTAACATACAAATACATATGTAGAACTATGATCTTCCAAATCAATATATGGCATGAGTATATGCTAGTCTCCTACCCATACCTGGTCATCTTGCCTATCTCCCTATGTCTCCATTTGTAGATTAATGTTTGATATTACTGATTATGCAATATTGTGTATGTAATAGTATTTACCTTTGTTGTATCCACCTCTTGTACACCATTCCATGTTTTCCTTTTCCTTAGTGATACTGTGCTTGTCACCCAATTTTGGTATTTTGTTGTTCCCTCCACCTATATCTTACCTAGCTAGTAATTTTGCCTCCACTCCCCTGGAAACCAACAAAGAAAGTTTCCTTCTGTGTGTAAATTTTTCCTTGACTTTTCATATATTTGACTCACACATTATTTGTCCATCTGAGATTGACTTATTTTACTCAGCATCATGTCCTCCATGTTCATCCATGTTATGAGATGTTTTGTGGATTCTTCATTATTCTTTAACGTTACATAATATTCCACTGTTTTTATGTACCGTAGTTTGGTTATCCATTAATTTGTTGATGAGCACTTAGATAGTTTCCGTCTCTTTGTCATTGTTAATAGTGTTGTAAAGAACATCGGTGTGCATACATCTATTCCTTTCCAGGCTACCACTTCTTTAAGATATCAGAAAGCACGTCTTGACCCACTGGATTCAGTGTTTTCTCCCTTGATCTAGCTGGAGAAGGGATTGTATATTTGCTAGTACAAGAAAGTTCTTTCACTTTGTTCCTCTAGGCTTGCCATGACTACCACGTCTTTCACCAGATTGTTAATTTAATTATGTGAAGCCCTTAGGTGATCAAGGGTGTGAGAAACACCCAACCCCACGAAAAATAAAAAGTGGATAAAAGTGTGCACATATTCTTTTTGGAACAAAGAGAATTTTGAGAAGATTTTCTGAAGCAGGAGAATTGGAAAATCCTCTTAAAAACATTGTTAAATAAACACACATCAGAAGCTAAATTCTTACATCCTTTTTGAATTTTTATATTTTTGGCTAAAATATTATATAGCACAAATTTTAGTGTTTGTGTTACTTATGACATTTCTGAACGTTTACATTAGATGAATTAGAATTGAATACTATGATTAATATTATGTCAAAATAGTTCTTAAAACAATTTGCAGATAAAATGTTTAAATACTTTTCTGAAGTCAAAGTTTTAGGATTGTCTGTCATTAGTTTTATGTGTGTGTATATATATATATATATATATATATATACACACACACACATATATAGATATAATTTATTTTATTTGTTTTGCTCTTTTTGAGAATATACAAAGCAAAACATATACCAATTCAGCAATTTCTATATGTACAATTCAATGATATTAATCACACTTTTCAAGTTGTGCAACCATTCTCACCCTCCTTTTCTGAATTATTCCTCTGCATTAACATAAACTCACTGTCTCCTAACATTTCTATCTAATCATTCAAGTTACCATTGTGATTTGATCTTATGTAGATAAATCTGAAGAGAGCATAATGGTCAAAGCATCGTTCATTACTGTTGTTGTTGTTGTTATGTGCCGTCAAGTCGGCCCCGACTCATAGCGACCCCTCCTTGGGTTTCTGAGGCAGTATCACTATGGAAGTAGAATTGCCCAACCTTCCTTCCGAGGAGTGGCTGGTGGGTTTGAACCGCCAGCCTTCTGGTAAACAGTCAAGTGCTTTAGCCACTATGCTACCAGAGCTCCTTACTAGTTAAGCTAAAATATTGTTTGGTTTTGAGAAAACTTCAGATGATGTTTTGGGTTAAAGGTTTAAAGATTATCTCAGGGCAACAATTTCAGGGGTTCGTCCAGCTTTCATAGCTGCAGAAATTCTGGTTTCCATGGGAATTTGGAGTTGTTTTCTACATTTTCTCTAGTTTGCTCAGGGTTCTTCTGTGGAATCTTTGATCAACATATTCAGTAATTGTAGCCAGGAGCCATTTAGTTCTAGTGTCATGGCAAAGGAAGGAGTTGTTCATGGATGCAATTATCCACACATCTATTTGCTCCTCTTATTCCTGACTCTCTTTCTTCTGTTACTTCAGGCAAAATAGACTACTTGCCGTACCTTGGATGGCTACTTGAAAGCTTTTAAGACCCTAGGCACTACACAATGAATTTGAAGGTAGAATAGAAACAGTAAACATGTTGTTAGGCTAATTAACTGGGACGTCTCATAAACCCATGGCCCTACACCTCCAAACCTTAGAACCAAGAGATACTTGTTTGTACATAAGTAGCCTCAACAACTACTTTTTTTTTTGTCGTGATTATAAATATATCTATTACAAAAGTTTTGCAGATGTACTTTTTGCAGATGTAAAATTTATGCACAACAATTGCAGTAACTGGCTATGCAAACCTAACTGTAATCAATGTAATTTTTTCCATCAGTATAAACCAAAACTCAGTACTCCAAAAGCAGTAATTCACCTTTGCCCCTCCCTTCTGCCTCTTGTAAACATTAATAAACTTTGGTCTTTATACATTTCCCTTTCTCATCTTTTCACATAAGTGAAGTCAAACAATATTTGTCTTTTTGTGATTGACTTGTTTCACTCAACATGTCTTCAAGCTCCATCCATATTGTAGCATGTATCAAAACTTCATTTTTCTTACTGATTGAGTAATATTACATTGTAAGTATGTACCACATTTTATTAGTCCGTTCATTCATTGATAAGAATTTAGGTTGTTTACACCTTTTGCCTGTTCTGAATAGTGACATAATGAACTTTGGTATAGAAATGTCTGTTCGGGACTCAGCTTTCAAGACTTTGGGGAACATACTTAGAAATGGAATTGCTTCATCTGGTAGTTTTTTTTTAGTTTTTTGAGGAAATGCTGCACTGTTTTCCACAATGGCTATACTGTTTTGCATTCCCATCAGCAATGGATAAGAGTTCTGATTTCCCCACATCTGCCAATATTTGTTATTTTCTAGATTGTTGTTGTTTTTACCTTGTTGTTACTTTAGCCATACCTAGTGGGAGCCAACTGGTATCTGCTTGTGGTTTTGACTTGCATCTTTCTGATGGGTAATGATACTGAGCATCTTTTCATGTGTTTGGTCATCATGTAAATATGCTCTTTGGTGAAATATCTATTCTAGTCCTTTTCTCATTTTGTCTTTGTCAAAATTATATATATATTTTGGTTGTTATGATATTATATGCCATCGAGTCATCTCCAACTCAGAGCGACCCCTCCTTGGATTTCCAAAGCGGTATCACTATGGAAGTAGACTGCCCAAACTTCCTTCCGAGGAGTGGCTGGTGGGTTTGAACCACCAACCTTCTGGTTAGCAATCAAATGCTTTAGGCACTAAGCCACCAGAGTGCCTATATTTTGGTTACTAGCTCTGGTAGCTTAGTGCCTAAGGCACTTGACTGCTAACCAGAAGG